ACACCAACCACTCCAATTAGGAACGAACTGCCTTTGAACATATATTGTCCAATTTCTTACACCTATTGATTTCGGATCGAGCCCAAAACTTGGGCAACATCATAATATGGTGGGAGGAGTCATTTGGTGAAGTTTGCGTGAAATCCGATCTCTAGAACGACCCAAAACACCAACCACTCCAATTAGGAACAAACTGCCATCGAACTTGAATTGTCCAATTTCTTACACCAATTTATTTCGGATCGAGCCCAAAACTTGGGCAACATCATAATATGGTGGGAGGAGTCATTTGGTTGAGTTTGAGTGAAATCCGATCTCTAGAACTACCCAAAACACCAACCACTCCAATTTGGAACGAACTGCCTTTGAATTTGAATTGTCCAATTTATTACACCAATTGATTTCGGATCGAGCCCAAACTTGGGCAACATCATATTATGGTGGGAGGAGTCGTTTGGTTAGTTTTTAGTGAAATCCGATCTCTAGAACTATGGAATACACCAACCACACCGATTAGGAACGAACTGCCTTTGAACACAAATTGTCCAATTTCTTAAACCTATTGATTTCGGATCAAGCCCAAAAATTGGGCAACATCATAATATGGTGGGAGGAGTCATTTGGTTACGTTTGAGTGAAATCTGATCTCTAGAACTACCCAAAACACCAACCACTCCAATTAGGAACGAACTGCCTCTGAACTTGAATTGTCCAATTTCTTACACCTATTGATTTCGGATCGAGCCCAAAACTTGGGCAACATCATAATATGGTGGGCGGAGTCATTTGGTTAGTTGTAAGTGAAATCTGATCTCTAGAACCACGGAATACATCAACCACTCCAATTAGGAACGAACTGCCTTTGAACATAAATTGTCCAATTTCTTTCACCTATTGATTTCGGATAGAGCCCAAAACTTGGGCAACATCATAATATGGTGGGAGGAGTCATTTGGTTAAGTTTGAGATCTCTAGAACTACCCAAAACACAACCACTCCAATTAGGAACGAACTGCCTTTGAACTTGAATTGTCCAATTTCTTACAACTATTGATTTCGGAACGAGCCCAAAACTTGGGCAACAACATAATATGGTGGGAGGAGTCATTTGGTTAAGTTTGAGCGAAATCCGATCTCTAGAACTACCCAAAACACCAACCACTCCAATTAGGAACGAACTGCCTTTGAACATGAATTGTCCAATTTCTTACACCTATTGATTTCGGATCGAGCCCAAAACTGGGGCAGCATCATATTATGGTGGGAGGAGTCATTTGGTTAAGTTTGTGTGAAATCCGATTTCTAGAACTACCCAAAACACCAACCACTCCAATTGAGAACGAACTACCTTTGAACTTGAATTGTCCAATTTCTTACACCTATTGATTTCGGATCGAGCCCAAAACTTGGGCAACAT